TGGGGGAGAGCACAGACAGAGAAGGGGGGGGGTGTATGGTGCGGGGGGGGGGGCTGCTGTCAGAATTTGCTTACACTCTGATTAGATAGCCAGAGCCAGTTCTGACCAGGCTTACTTCAGCTGCGCCTGGACAAGGAAGCAGTAGCACTATCAACACACTCTCATTTTATCTCAACTTACCTAGGCTTACCTAAGTGAGCAGCAAACCCACAGTGAGCAATTTGTCACACAGAGTCAGAATCACCTGCCAATTACAGTAGCATTGCAATTGGGTGATAGATTCCAGCAAGCTGGTGACTTCCAAGGGGGCATCTAATATATCAGTGATTTTTTGTACGGCTGTGGAAGTGAAGTTCAGCATTACTGGTGATACTGAAGTTCAATGTTTTTATCCATTATTTTAGATTTCCAACTTTCAAAAATGAAGAAAAAACGATTAGGTCATAAAAGGCAGATCTCTCAGGAAAGTCTAAGTTGCATGCAGATATGCAGACAGAACACAGGCTGGATCAGGCTGTCACAGAGGACCTCAAACTTTAATATGTCAAAATTCTCCTGGTGCTCTGTGGACGAACTATATGATTCATGAGCAAGCTCTTTAAGATTTTAGCTCAACATGGGAAATGTTCTACAAACAATTACAGATATTGTGAATTATATAAAAACCAAGCCTGGGTGCTAAACATATTTCTTTAATATTTTACTGTGAGTTAAGATGGTAAATATTTTGAAATGTGTTTTCGAACTGAGAAATGAACTTGATCAGCATTTAGCTGAGGAAAGGTGCAGTATTGCACACATATTTATTGACTGTGATTTTAATGTGCATTTAGCATATTTAAGTGACATTCTGATAGGTGGAACATTTTGAATTCCTAACTACAAGGTGCTAATAATATCCTTCAATCCAATGACAAAAATCATTTAAACTTCAACTATGGAAGAATGAACACAGAAAAGGCAAGTCTAGAGATGGATCCTAATTTGAAACAATGTACTGAGACAGTAACCCACAAATTTAGTGAAGCTTTTTTATTTCAAGTCACCTTTCTTCTCAGAAATTAGACTTTCAGAACTATTCTCAAAAGTGGAAACAGAAAAATTTTACTACAATATTAGGCAGGATACTCAATTCGGCCAAGGAGACCAATTTATCATAATTACCAAACTCCCTCATCAATGAAGTTACCAAAAAAAATGGATGTATCAAGTGCACTTTTGACTCATGCAAGACAAGAATATGAGTCCATAATTGAGTTCAGACATTCACCCGACTTCATAAAATATTGTTTATGAACCTGGAGGCAAGTCAGACACAGATCTCCTTGCTTCATTCTCCTAAACATGGGTACCATTATGCCAAAGTACCCTGTTGTTTTTACTCTGCCTTAATATCACTTAAATCAAGTAATAATCTTATCCTGGATTTTTCTGCACATTGCAGAAGGGTGGATTAGATTATCCTTGTGGTTCTTTCCAATTCTCCAATTCTATTACTCTTGTCCTGATTTGCTAACTGGAATTAAGACCAAGTTTCCTAATTTGGATGAATATAAATTCATAATAATTCAAGCTTGAGCTTCTACATAGAAAAAGGAACTTTGTTCTTATATATGATAACAGCAGCAAGGCTTTTATATGCACAGAGATGGAAAGGTACATTACCTACAGTGGAAGAACGGATGGTGAAGTTGATGGAGTTGGTTGAGATGGCGAAATTGACGGCTTTGATTTGAGAAAAGACACTGTGTAATTTTAATGTTAACTGGCAACCTTTTTTGGACTTTTTGTGGGAAACAGAAAAAAATGAAATTATGTTGTATGGATTTGATGATTAGGAACAAAATGGGTAAACGGAAATAATGAAAGTTACGTTCTAAACTTAGAGGAAGAGTGGGATGTATACTGCTACTTATATCTGTTGTGAAGAGGGTCAGAAGTCAATTCTTTGCTTTTCTTTTTCTTTTCTTGTTTTTTGCATTTTGATCTTGACTATTCTTCTAATCTTTCTTTTTACTTTCTTTCTTTAATATTACTTCTTGTTAGTTTTTACTGTTTCTGTTTTAAAATTTAATGTTATTAAAAAAAAGAAAAAACAAACACACCCAAAAGAGGAGAAAGAAAAGAAGTAGAGCTTCTTCATAAGCTATGTTTTATAAAGTTTTAGATAATAAAAAAATCAAACTATGCCTTAAATAAACCTTATTTATTTATTTATTTACAAATTATCTGGTGGTAGAAAGCTTGAAGTTTCTCCAAAATGGAGAAAGCATGCATCTCCATGTTGGAGAAAGTTCATGTAAAGGCTGTGATAAGTGAGAGGGGAACCAGTGATTCCCAGGCCAGAAATAATCTATGTAAACATATGCCAACCATCAAGAAACTAGCCAAGTATTTGTCAACTTGGAACCCATGAAGAAAAGGTCTCTCTCTCCCTCTCTTTCTCTCTCTCTGTCACACACACACACACACACACACACACACACATGAGACTTATTTGTACTATGGAGGTTAATCAACTGTTGAGTTAAAGTTTCATTCTTTAATCTAGTCAAGTTGTGTCTGAGAATCTTCTGCCAAGTATTGAATAATGTCTGAAGAACTGTAATTTATGCTGAACTCTGGCAGAAAGCGTGATGGTTCAAGCTGTAAAATATCCTTGATCATTATGACAGAGATTATGGGAGCTGTAATCTAACATTAATTATGTGCCATCAAGTTGTTTTTGACTCCCAGTGACCACATAGACAGACATTAGTCTGATATATAGATAAATAATATATAGATAATTTATAATATATACTGTAGATAATATAGATAGGTAATAGTCTAACATACGTGGAGGGTAATCAGGTGGTGAAGGTGGCCTAAGGCAATGGGTCAATGGATCAACTCTTTGTACAGGAAGAAAACCAGATACACATACAAGTTTCTTCAGAACTCTGGACTGTACTAATTATGGCAAATATATTTAACAAAAAGACACTGAAGCTTCACAACAACTGCTTATACCACATAAGATTAAAGCCACAGTCATTTTAGCATATTCAAGAGGCAAAAACCTTGAAGTAGGCTAATGGAAGAAAGACTAGCTCAAACCAGGCTACTTTCTAGG